GCCGCTCTCCTTACAGTCGGGAAACAGTGGCGGAAGCAAGCCTACACACACAAACAGCATTTGACGCGGGATTCCTCATGACCCATGCATGGAGTACACATGTCATTCCATACACAACTGCGTCGTTGGAGCTTCGCCCCTTGCTGGCTTCTTTTGGGAAGCAACATGACACGGCCAAAGCACGCAATGTTCGGCTCATTGCTGGTCCGAACACTTCAGCTGGAAGCAGGGCGCGTCAAGTTTGGAGATAGTACTTTTTATCCAGCTTGCCGTGCATGGAGAGCGCATCATCACATACGCTTCTGAAAGTTGGCAAAGAACCCAATCAAGGGTCGCACAAAAGGAATCTTCTCCAAATGGGAGTGTGTCAGGTTCCATGCGAATCTTCGAAGCAATCTCACTCTATCAGCATCTAGACCTGAATACTGTTTGGGAAGATTGACCACTCACCCTATATTTACGTTATTTACCTCTTTTTTAGGGTTTTAGTCTTTGGTCCAGGGCCTAGTGATGGGTTTGGGAACCATTGGGAACACTGCAGCACTCACATGTATCTCAGGTCATCCGCATTACGTAGTGAAAATGTGTTCTACACTTGGGCTCAATAATTCATACAAGAGAATCATTTAGGTCGTGCTATGCGACTTCTTCCAGATGTTGTTCCTGGCAAAATATGTTTTGCCTGTGGCTCAGTTCGCTGCCAGAAGCGAGGGCTCGGTGACTGAAACGTACGCGCTGTTGCATCTAGCTGAGCACGAATCATTGGGTGCCGCGCGAATGTGGTGTTATCGCGGATGGGCGTGCCTTGGGTGAAGCTTGGGATGACGATCAGAAGTGTCTTTTGTTTTGGAGGGTAATTACCCTCGTTTTGGTCCTGAAGAGAAACCACCTGGAAACCACCATTTCTTGGAGACAAACTCAGATGGACCCTACACTGACTGAGTTGTTGATTCACCATCATCAGCGCCCACCATAAAGCTTCAGTAACTTTACGGCCTAAATTCAATCAGTCGGAAATGCCAAAAGACTGTGCTCCAGGACCTTGTGAGGCTGCCGCACACGGCTTGTTTCGGATAGGCTCATCCTGGCTTTGCAAGCTCTTAGTTGGATGTCACTTTTTGGCTCTGGTGCTTCGCACCATTTGTTTAGGGAGCACTTTGATTGAATCTCTAGTGGCAATGCTACTGCCAACGGAGGTCTGCTTTTGGCATCATGACTTCCTAGCTTGGGTCCTGAGGTCCTGATTTGGGGGGGTTGAGGACTGTCAAGCCTTCACCTACGAATGCCAATCATGCCTTTCGTGACGAGAACACGGAGTCGGTTGTAAAACGAGCGAAACACCCGTGAAGCGGGTCTTTTACTTGGTTCCCGTATTTCCATTTTTGAAACTTGTAGTGGAGCTTGCAAGACTATTGTATTGGGCAACTTGTGCCACCGCTCGAGCACATGTGTTGATGTAATGCATAGTAACAGAGCTGGCATCAACCCTTGAAATAACATTTAGACTTGCGAGCCTGCCTTCTGATCAAGGGAGCCAGCGCTTTGAGCCTGGCACTGTGATGGTGCACATGGAGAAATGGGGCTAAAACAGTCACCTGTACTTTGTGTGTCTTGTGGTTGCGACACCTTGTTTGGAGGCGAAAAGTTATTCATGTGTCTGGGGGGTTTCTGAGTTGTGTGATTCTTGGGCGGACTAGCCGCAGGCTAGCTATTTGTGTGTTGCCTCGCAAGTGTGTTTGTGACGACTTATGAAGTGTGGTCGTCCCAGGCTTCTCTCGCGCAGGCAACGATTTTTGGGTCTTGCCTGTTGATGCCCATGATCGATGCTGTTTCCGATTTGGCCACGTAAGCCCTGATCATATTTTGTGGGTTGTTCGAAACATGTTGCCTAGCCTATTTAAGGCAGCTTGGCAAATCTGGTCAGCAATGCAGCACAGGGCAATATATTTTGGGCATCACTGGCAGCTCAGTGCAAAGCTGACGGAGGCTCCATTAGAGGAGCCCCATCTGCAGGGAGCGATAGTCTGCATCCTGAAAGGAGAGCACAACCGAGAGCTTAAAGATGTCATGTGCCTTGCAAATCCACGACTTGTGGCAATTGGCAGGACTATCCGGGTGTGTCTTTTTGTTTGAAGGTACTAGGACCCTTTCGCGGTTTTAAATGGCGGCCCAGAGGAAACCACCCAACAATTGGGGCCCATTTGGGGGTCCCCCATCTTTTTGACACGCGTCACATGCCCATATGGAACGGGCGCAACGCTTCTCTGAATGCGCCAAGAGATTCTGCTCTCCGAAGCTTAGGCTCGAGTCTCGGGGGCGTCTGACTGGACTTGAGGTCAACTTCACTGCTTTGGGTTTGTGTCACTAACCCCCCTAAAGGTTGTTTTCCCCTTGGTTTCTCATCCAACCCAATCAAGGGTTGCCAACAAAAAAGACTGCACCCACTGATGTTTTACTTCTTTGGTTTTGTTGGTTGTGTCCAGTTTTAGCGGGCTGCAAAGGAACACAGTTTGCCAATATACCAAGGGTTGGAGAGGCAACCCTGCTTTGATATATAAAGGGCCTCACTGAGCCGAGAATAATATGTTTGTTCATTTCGGAGCTATGAATCCTGACCATCTCCCGCACCTCCGTTTGGGTTAAGGTTTCGCGGCACACAGCCTTCTTCATCTCCAGCCCATTCCTTGCAAAGAGCACGGCTTTGAGTGACAGGGTGTTGATTTACTGAGCACCGTACTTGTAAGGGGGTACTGGAAGTGTCTAGCAAGGTGGTTTCACACATCTCGCATTGCAGTGTATCTTTGTAAATCAGTTGCCTGGCAGGCAGCGTATCATACTGAGCCGAATCAGCAGAATTTGTGTTGAGAGCTAGGATCAGAAAGTCGAATCCTGCTGCATTGCGACCGAACCTCAGACTTACGATTTGATTTGTCCGCGGAGTCCAGAAGAGTGGCCCTTGAGATGGCTCAGCCTTCTTGGCCGTAAGTGCTTCACAGCGGTTGCGAACAAAAGGCATGCAGGCTTTCATGGGCATGGTCGTGGAAATTAGGATTTCAAGGCTATGTTTTTGTGATCCACTGTAAAGTGAAACAGTCATGGAGATTTCCCATTTTGGTATCATAGAAAGGCCTCTTTCCACAACCATGCCACACGTTTGGCTTACTTTCTCCCGAAGGAATTGGAACCGGGGGTTTGGGGAAGCGACGGAGATCGCTGTTGGTGATTTCTTGCAAGGGTTGCAAGCCCCGCAGCGCTTGTCCACACAAATGGCCGCATTCGGCCTTCAAAGCTGAATGCCTGAGACATAGAGGCAAAGGTTCGGTGTTCATGGCCTGTTGCACCGGGAGAATGGCTTGAGCTGAGTACGCCTTGGGTGAAGTCTGACCCAGTTTCCCCCCACTCCCAATACCCATGTGTTTTTTTTGCATATTAAATACTGGTTTTCCATGTCATTGTTTCTTGAGTCAGTGGTTGATACCAACGAGGGTTTTTGGAGTGGGTTGTAGCAAGTGTGTTGTTCGGTGTTCCCGGCGAGAGAAGAGGTAGCGTTTCTGGCTCTTAATCCAAGTTTGCAGCTTGCGCGGTGTTCCTTTGTAGCGTAAGCTTTTGCTTCCTCGGCAAAGAGCTGGCTGTCAGTACTACCCTTTCAGACGAAGGGTTTAAAAGGATACAACCCAAAACCCACCCGTTTGATTCTGTGTATTTGTTTGAGTGTAAATACCAACTGTGTTGGTCGTTTTAGCGGGAAATTGGCCAGTTTGGGGTTCTTCAACTCAGGGAACAGCGCCAATTTCGCACGACGGTTGAACCCCCGCATCAGGCACAGAATCTCTCACTCTGCAAGTTACTCGCAGACAAACCAATGAGGCAGGTCGCTTACTTAAGGACCTATGGATTCCTTTTTCCAGCTTGGAATTATAGCACTTTGCCCAGATTGTGGCGTGTTTGTTTGAAGATCCCCTGTGATAACCATTGGGCCGCATTGCGGGGTGTCGCAGGCTTTTCCCCCTGTGTTTGGCGTAGCATAAAAATAAGGTCTGTGATCCTTAGACAGGGCTTGGGGCTGCAAACACGAAACATCCAAACTAATAAACATTGAGGAAATCCAGCAAAAGAAGCGCAGGTTGATACTTGAATCTTTCACAGCTATGGCAGGGAGGCAAAACTACTTCATGTGCTTTTCTGCGCAGCGTCAACACAGCACTCTGATAGTCTCAGAATCATAAATTAGAGGCCACGGGGATCCCTGTAACATATGCCAGGGTGGGTATTCGTCTGGCAGCATTGCAACCCCACAAACAGAGGTGGAACACCTGCACGCCCTCAATTCATCTTGGACAGCAGCACGCCTCTTTGGTTTGGAAGGAGAACAGTTTCTCCCAGGTGCCACTAGGGAAAAACACAAAAGGCAAACGTGCAGCGCAGAGAATGCCGCACTTAGAAGGACCGGCTCACTCTGAAACCCTGCATCAGAACACTTAGTCGATCCATCCGGGATGGGAAGCTGGGATCCCTTCCATCCGCTTTGGATGGACATTCTGCTTTCACAGGCTCTGTGGGGCCCCACTCTGCAGAGACCCTGCCTTTCATGTCTCAGTATACCTTGAAGTTATTTTTACTCCGTTATGCCAATCTGATGGATCCCAAGCAATCTTTCGCTGGGGGTGTGAAGTTGTTTTTTTGTTGTGTGTGTGTTTACAAAAGTATCATTGGAGAAAACCGCGAAAAAAATATGCGGTGTCGAGCGCTTTTGGTTTCTGGCGTATGAGATTCGATTCTTTGGTTGCCTACAGTTGGACTCAACAACAGTCTGTGCAAAGGCAATCGCAGTTCTTGCATGATTATCACTCTTGGACTGTGCTCCTGGATGCACTTCCTTTTGTCTTGAGATGATTTGTTTTGGTGTTTTTTAAACGAGAAAAAGGGTGATGAGTGCATCAAACAGTGCGCGCTTTCCCGAAGTCGGACAAACCGACCTCGCGCGCGGCTTACTTTGCTTGGCTCAGATCGATCGGGCCGATGAAATCGCCCGTCTGATCGGGGCGCCGAGCTCTGGACTCGGCTTCCCTCGAGGCGCCGGGTGGATTTGGACTTTGCGCCGGGTGGTTTAGGGCTTCCCCGGGTTTAGAAGGGGCTCCCACTCCAGATGCCAACTTCAGGAAGTACTTCAATTTGCTGAACAGTGCCTTTTTTTTGTATTGTCCCCTGTTACTTTTTACAGGGAATCTATCACTATTGATGTTTTTGTTTTTTCTAGTGGACTATTAAGCCGAAATTAAGATAAATGGAAGTGTACTGACTGCTTTTGACTTTTGGCCGCCGCGCATGGCTCCTCGGACCTGTGATGGTCATAGTAGACTTGGTCCGGTTGATGCGCTCTTTGTTGCATGTAACATAGGCACACCACGGTCATAGGGGCTGCTTGCAGTATTTCTAGCATGAACCGAACAAGAACACCCTTCTAAATGCAGCTGCAGCCTGAGTTGGCTTTAGTCTTCTGCCGTGAGCTGTGCTCGCTGTATTTTTGTGGGTCTAATTGAGGAGTATGGAACAGCTTTCGGTGAACAGACTGCTTTCTGACTGCAAGTTTCCTTCAGCTCCAGTCTCAAAGTTGTACAGAGAACCAATCGGCTGTACTACTCGGAATGACCGTGGGGCCGTTGGCACATGGTCGCTTGTCACGCGGAGTCAATGGGACTCCAAGGAAACGCCTTCTTTTGAGAGTGCCATGTTCAGAGTTGCCGCGTTGAAACCATCCCCACTTCTCGGGGCTCGTGCGTTTGTTTTGGTTTTTGTGTTTCAAGGCGAGTTTCACGACGGAGCAGGGACTCTGACGCTAGCCCAGGAGATGCCTTTGGAACTGGATAGCGACTGCGACAACGACGACTTTTCAGCCAGCGACTCAGGTGATAGACATCGACATAGAGGTCGGCATGCAGAATCTCCAGAGGATACCTTTCAACCCTCTGTCTGGTTGAACAGAAGTGGGAGCGTCCTGCAAGTGTTTCTGTGTGTGTGTGTGTTGTACTGTATTCTCCTTTAGCACACCCCTTAAGTTCAAACCAAGAAACTCCAAAAAGGTTACAAGTATGCCCTGGAAGACCCAGCCCAATGTGTTCTCGGCTGGCGTGAGACGGTTTTGGAGCCGCAAAGCAAGCCAGCGAAAAGCCCAAAGCAAAGTTGATGACTTCCAAGCTCCAGACCCAGCATCGGCAAACCCGCTGGTTCGCACCAAACCTACCGCCCCCCATCCTAGACCAAGACCCTGCACAAACCCAGCAATCTCAAGCTGAAGACCATCACGGAACTCTCACCAACTCTCACTGGAACTCTGACCTCCCCAGTTGTTCAGCGGCTTCCCCACTAAAATAGTCAACCACGAAAAGCCATTCCTTTTCTGCCAGGGGCACTGAGGAAGATCCTCCCTCATTTGAAGGTTCCATGCTGCGGGGTCTGGGAGAAACCGTCGGAAGGCATGGAAGAGCCCGCGCAGAAGCCCTGGAGGTGCGGGGACACTGTGCGGTGTGACTCAAAATCGGAGGCCTTTGGGTCTGTCTCAAAATAGAAAGCCCAACTGGTTGCTTGGTTTCCTCCCCCTACACCTTCCCGCAAAACAGTCCCTGGCTTGAGACTCACTCTTCTCCCCCCCTTTGAGTTGGCGTGTCCCGCCAGGCAACCCCCCAGATGAAGCTTATGGGAGCCTAAAGCTGGCAAGTAAAGTGGGTTTCAACAGAGAAACAAATACCTTCCTGCCAAGGTATTTCATGGTTCACATGTTGACACAATTTTGCAACAAAGGGTCGCCATTTTGTCAACCCCACGAGACAATACGGTCACAACAGCAAACATGCGGAATTGGGTCTTACTTCGATACGCAAGGCCTTATGTTGAAAAAGAAGGCCTTCTTGTGTCTCGGAATAGGGCCTTATTGTTGGCTGCACGCCGGACACCTGCACGACCTGCCACGCACACCTCTGCACGCAAGAACGCACAACCGCTCGTGTCTCCGCGCACGGCACGTCCACGCGCACGTGGGCACTTTCGCCCGCTCGCACGCGTACAGGCACCCGTGCAACGTAGTGTGTCCATGAGGCTATATGTTTGAGCTACCTAAATTTGTCAAGCAGGATTTTGAATGTACGTAGACATAATATGTGCTTCAAAGTGTTACGGGCCATCACATAATATTTTGTTAATGTTGAAACGCATGTGGAAACATGAACTGTGTTTGCAATGCTTGACCATAATGGCGCATGCCATTTTGGCTCAAGCTTTGCCCTGGGTTCTTTGAACCCAATTTGTGTGAAAAAGATTTGAGTTTGAACACCCCCGAACTAACCCCGATCAAGCAATGGCGTCCTCGGCAACCTCGGCAACCTCCTTCGAGCTGATTGAGGACCAGACGCTCACCGCGGAGGAGGTGGAAATGGCCAGCCAGGAGGCCCAGGAAATCCGCACACGCGAGGCGGCAGTGGCGGCCGGCCTGGTGTTGGACGAGCCCGAGGCCCCCCCGTCGGCTTCGGCTACCGACGTGATGAACGACCTCTCCAGTGCACTGGAGCGTCTCCGTGTGGCGTTTGCCAGGAGGAGGACAAGGACATGGAAGATGCGGACGCCACGGAGCGGGCTACTCCACCCACGAAGAGGCTGAAGGGTTTCGTGGCGGCTTCCCAGAAGACCACGGCTCATGTGAACAAACCGGTCTCCCTGGTGCCGGTGGAGGGCCGTCCCGGCTACTTCAAGTTAGTGGACCTCCCAGACCTTTTCCCGGTCCTTCCGGCATCGGCGGCCACGTTGCTGAGGGACGTCACGGTGGAGGAGGCGGTCTCCCTGTTCCACAAGTTTGTCGGGAAGAATCTCACGGAGGACTTGGTGATTCGCATCCTGGAGGCCTATGTTCCGATGAAGATCCAGATCCGGCAGGAGGAGGTCTGGGCCTCACAGTTCCAGAGGAACAAGGCGTGCATTGGCACCCAGCGGATGCACAGACTCGATGCAGGCCACTCAGATTACAAGTTCATGTGCAAGGCATGCGGCACGGGGTGGCCGGAGGCAGCCAAGCAATGCTGGGTCTGCCCAGGCAAGGAGTTCGTCCCCTTCCAGGCACCCTCGGCTACCTATGAGGCGGACGGCGTCACTTACAACCTGCTCATTGTGGAGGGCAAGCCGACCTGGATCCAGCAGCGGGAAGGGGGAAGCCTGGGTGCCGCTGGCCCCGGTGGTACCCGGGCACAGGCAGACCGCAACCTGGTGGACGGCACGGTCCTGGGGAGAGCTCCTCCGAAAACGGACACGGCAGAGGAGATCACCATGGCAGACGTGGTCCCGCTCAACAGGCGGGTGGACATCCGGCAGGAGATCCTGTCCATGGAGGCGGACGACGAGGCGTTGAAGGTCCGGGAATGCCAGAGGAGGCGCTGCTGGAGGAGATGCCCGATCTGGCGACACCGGCCCCCCCCAAGGGTGCCGGCCCCGGGAAAACCAGCCAATGGCACAGCAGGACCTGGACTCGGAGGAGGGCAAGCTGTCCCTGCTCCTCTGGGCGATGAAGAGGCACCAAGGGGAGCTACGGATGTTTGGGGGGATCTGGAAGAAGCACTCAAGCGGTGAGATCCCCAAGGGCGCGGACCAGCAATTCAAGCTCACGCCGGAGGAGCTCCTGGCCTTGGAGCTCAGGACTCACCCACTCACGTGTGAGCAGGACCACATCGACCCAGTCATCTACTCGGCCTTGGAGATCCGAGCGCAGGTGAACCGGGGCGAGCGCCCGGCTCCGGAGCAGGTGGTGGGGATCTTCTGGGCGAAAGGTGATGGAGTGTTTTGGACCAGGCAGACGAGAACGTGGGACCTGCCGAGCCTGACGGGGGTGTACGCCCACAGGTTCACTTTCAAGTACATCTACTCGGCCTGGACCACTTTCCCGCTGATCGTGAAGACGCAGCGCAGGGGCCGCAATGCGGAGCTCGACCTCGGACAAGTGGATGGGCAACATCCTCCAGATGAGGAAGGAGGCGGTGCCCTTCCTGGAGAGCCTGGGAATCCCCAAGCCGCGCAGCAAGGCGGAATGGAGCTACATCTTCAAGGAGATGGGAACGTTTCTGGCGGCCAAGAATTTCATCGTTAACTGCCCGTTGCCGGTGATGGAGATCCCAGTGGCCCCCGTCCACGACAGCAAGGAGGCGTTGCGTTTCAGGGCGGTCTGTGACGAGCGAATCACCCTTCCGCTGTCATCGCTGAGGGCTTTCGACTCGGTCTACACCAAGTTGGTGTCGGGCTTGAGCAAGTCCTCCATGGTGGAGGTGAAGGTCAACTGGCGTTGCAACGTGGTCCACGACTGGGTTGAGCAGGTCCCGCAGGAGGCGGCGGGGGCCCTGTACGACAGGTTGGGCTACTCCCAGGACCTCATCCGGCTGGGTTGCTCCCCCCCCTTGGGTGCCTCTGGCCCCGGGGGAGGAGCGGCCAAGGAATCGGACCCCAAGGCCAAGGTTCTGGGGGGGGCGGACACCACGCTCCGCACACCGGACCAGGGCACCAGGCGGTACCCGCCCATCACCACGTCCACGGTCACGGCGGTCGCGGGCCGGAAGTACATCAACAAGCACTTCCCCAAGGAGACGAAGCACGTGTTTTGGGCCTCCGTGGAGTGCGGCTTGGTCTTGCCCAGCATCAGCGCCTGGGAAGTGGTGGGCAAGGAGAAGTTCAAGACCACCGGGGGCTACATGTGCAGGTTTTGCAAGGGCTTCTGGAGGGCGAGCCGCGGGGGGACCAGGCTGCTCCAGATCACGGGGTGGCACAAAGACAAGGCCACATGCCTGCAGCTGGTGATGGACGAGGCCCCGGAGCAGTTATATAATCAGTGGATCCGGGACAGGATGGAGTTCTACAAGAGGGTGGAGCCGACGGAGCCTCCCAGGGACGAGCGGCTAGTCCTGGGCGACGCGAGCACCCCGCGCATGCGCTTCAGCTCCTCGAATGGCCTGGGGGATGTCTCCACTGCCTTGTGGTCGGTCATTTTGAGCAACCCGGAGAAGTCAGGGCTGGCGGCCATCCACTCGGTGGCAAAGGAGGCGATCTTGAAGGGTGAGAGCCGCTAGGTCGTGTCTCACATCCTTTTGGGTTCATCTTTCACCGTGGTTTCCCCCCTGTTCAACACGTCACGACTGCTGGTTTGCCTCGATCTGGAGGCTGCACGCTTTGGCTGCCCCAAGGACGGGCCATATCGGCCACAGCTTGGAGAAAGTGGCTGCGGCTGACTCTGGGTTCCCTGAGGTCCCCTTGGGGGTTTTGGGGAATCCCCCCGTCGGGTTGGTCTTCCCCCTCCGTGGTTTTTGGGGATTTCCGGGGGTTGACTTTTGGGTCCTGTTGGGCTGCATGTGGCCTGCCTGCCCCATTTGCACTCGGCATCCTGCGGGGTTGGAACATGCATGCAGTGTGCCGCGGTTGGGTCCCGGCCGTTCGATAGGAGGCTCGAACCCCTGTTTTCATCATGGCTAGGCTCTCTACAAAGTTTCTTTTGCGCCCGCCTTACACTCGTCTTTGGGACCGCATTCCAAGGGTCCTGTGGGACACGTTGGCGGATGAGTCCTTCTCCCCGAGACAGACGGACGGGGAGCTGCTGGTCCTGATGTGCCTGCGCCATGGCACGGCGGAGGAGGGGAGGCAGCTGGGCGGGGAGCCGGCCATCCGCTTCGCCCAGATCCTGGAACTCTCGGGCATCCGGTAGGCCAAGACGACCAAGTGGTACCGACTGACTACTTCAACGGCCTGGTGGCGTCGGCGGCGGGCAGGCTTCCCCAGCCTCTGTCCGCGGCGGACCTGGCCGACCTTTGGGATAGCCTATGGTTCCTCCTCATGGCGGCTGCGGATGGCAAGCCGAGCGAGAACTTTTCCGCGCTGGAGAACGAATGGGACCGCCAGGACCAACTGAGGTGGTTCTCGCGAGATGACCCACCCCCACTCCAACAGCCGGAGCTTCTGAAGTGGAGGCACTGGCGGCCCGGGAAGATCAGGGAAATGGAGCCCACGACCCAGCGAGCGCTGGAACTCCATATGCGCGGAAAATGGGCGGAACGGCTCCTTGCCCACTTCGCCCCCTTTGCGGAGCACATCGCATACATGCAGGACATCCTGGGGGAGGACTTCCGCAAGGAGGCATTGGACCTCCTGGAGGACAGCAGGTTCCGGACGCTCAGGCAACATTGCCTGGTCTACAAGAGTCTCCGCAAGAGAGGCTTCACCGTGATTCCATGGCAGGAACGACATGTCCGCTCTCTCCTCAACCAGCTCGCCGATGAGGAGGTCACCCCGTGCAAGTTGCGGCAGGTGTGGAACACCCTCAAGTGGTTCTCAAAGACCTTCGGATTGCTGAAGATAGATGAACTCCATCGCCTCAAGTCCAAGAAGAGCTCATTGGAAGAGGCGCTCACGGACACGGTCACCAGGCCACAGCGTAAGGCGGTGGTCCCCAGCAAAGAGGTCATATGGGCTCTGGAGGAGGGGGCCGG